TACACAGACACATTTTTGTACCATATTTTTACTGTTTTTACTGTACCTTTGCTATGATTAAGTATACAAATACTTACCAAAATGTTGTAGTTGCCTGCAGTATTCCGTATCGTATTGTACAGGCTTGTAGCCTAGGAGCAATAGGCTATACCATATAGCCTTTATGTAAGTAGGCTATATCTCTAGGTTTGTGTAAGTGCACACTATGATGTTTGCAAAACTACAGAATCACCTGATGACACATTTTTCAGGACACATCCCCCATTGTTAAGCGATGTATGACTGTAATCTATTTTGTTAAAGATCTTAGTAGATTAAATAGTAATGCATGTATTTCATTTGAGGGCTGACAAAACTGTTTGACTTAACCCATACCTTTTGCATCTCCTGGTATTTTATTTTACATCGTCAGGTAAGCTAGTCCTTAATAATACCATTTTAGTGGGGAAGAAAGTTAAAATGTTTGGCTCAAAATATGTTTTTTACATTTAACAATGCATTTCATTAATATGCTCCCCCTCCTCCCCCTCCCCCCTCACCTCCTGAAAGCACAGGTTATCAGAACTGAGTTACATAAAATATTTTTTTTGGACCTGCTTTCTAAGTAATGATGAAATCCCTCAATAGTTTATTAGATTAGATTATTTTTTTGCCTTTGTATAGCCACCAACGATAGTATGCAGCATCTGCAAAAAGGATGGCCATTCAAAAAATGATTGCCCGGAGGATTTCAGGAAAATTGACCTAAAACCTCTGCCACCAATGACAAATCGATTTCGGGAAATACTTGATTTAGTATGTAAACGATGTTTTGGTAAGTCTTTTATTATTAGAATTGAGACTAGTTTCTTTTTTAGATTTTGAATATTTGTTTATTTTCTGATTTAAAAACAGTTTCCTTACATTTGTTTTGATAGAGGTTTTGAATATTTTAGACACCCAACTATAGATATTTACTAAATGCCTACTGTGTGCAGGGCACTGTGGTAAATACCAAGGGGAATACAGAGACCATATGTGTTGCTTTTAAGGAACTTAGACTCCGGATCTGTGCTGTCTAATATGGTAGCCACTGGCTTTATGTGGCTGTTTAAATTTAAATTAATTAAAATTAACTGAAATGAACAATTAAGTTCCTCAATTATATTATCCACATCTCAAGTACGAATAGCTACATATGTCTAGTATTGGACAGTCTAGATAGAGAACATTTTTTTTTTTTTTTT